GCTTCAGCCTGTGTGATCTATCCAAATAGTGATGCATCAGTACAACCTTCCTATTTTTTTTACCCCTCAAGAAATATTGCCTGCTTTTGGCAGAATCCTGTTAATGCGGTCAAGAGTTCTGGAATACATGCTAGGAATATATCTTTCATCCTTGTAGTCTATGGAGCTCCTTTGGTCAGCAGTAGTACTACTATAGTCAAAAGTCTGTAGGCAATTCTTTTGTATGCATTCCTGTTTCAGACATTGGTGTTTTGGGCAGCGGCAATTCATTTAAATGGCAAATAGGTATCTGAAATAGTTTTGCATCTAGCTACATTTAGGAGGAAAATGTGAATTTGAAATCTTCATGGCTTTTTATAAGTAATTGGGTTCCCCTTGGGTTTGCATTGGTATTTTGAAAAAGAATCAAAGTTTTGAAATTATTACTGTGCATAAAATTACATTCTGAAGAAACAAATATAGCCTCCATAGCAAGATACTCATTTGCTGTGCAAGTTAAGCCGTATTGCCTGTTAAGAACAAGCTTATCTTCAAAAACAGTACATGAATCTCTTAATTTTTTGTGTATGACTTGAACCATAGCATGATGTGTAGCTACTACAGTTTTGCTTGTAATGAGGAACTAGTAAACTCCTGGTTCCTATGGTGCTGAGAGTTGAGACTAATGCTACCTTGCCTTGTTTCCTGCTGTAAAATGAATACATCACTAACTGGGCTTAGGAAAGTTGCGTGACTGGAAGTGGTCTACAGCTATAAACATTCAAATCTATGATGGTAATGAGTATTTTTTAGAATCTGTTGATTAGTTTGCTTCCATTTTTGTGCGTCATTCTCATCAGTGGTATAGTTTCATTTCTATAGGAAAGTGACTGAGACATTAGTTCCTGAAAAAAATATGTATTCTGCAAGTTCAGCTTTCTGTGAACTGTGAAGTGTTTTATTTCCACTCTTCCATGCCATTACAAAGTATCTAGGGTTCACAGATAAAGCCCTGTCAAAGCCATAGGTATTTATGGAAGTAAATTGTGAAATAAAAAAACCATGCTCTTCCAATCTGAGCAATACATCAAGTAATTTTTCAAGTTCTTAAAACAAACAAACAAACAAAAACAAACCCCAAAACCCCCCCCAAAACCAAACCCTTTTGAACTGAATTTAAATAGTATTGTCTGATGTTTATAACTGGGGGGGGGGGGGGGTGGAGAGAAAATATGTAGGAAAAAATATCCCCCAACTTATTATGCTTGGAGTAGCATTTTGTCACAAATCCAACCTGACTTGATGACAGACCTCCAGAGAAGAATGCAGAGGAAGGCAAGTTTAAGGAAAGGTTTAGTACAGTATCTTTTAAAGTTTTGCTTGTAGGTGTAAGCAGATAATTAATTTGCTTTGGAAGAATAACTGTTAATTTAGTTTAATTTGAAATATGCATAGAGAGTGTGCATTATTTCTTCTTGGGAGAAGGTTGGGACAGGTGGAGCCCAGATTAGTCCATATAATGAAGAGAGGGATTTCATCAACTTTTGACCTCTCTTTGGGTGATGATAACAGAAGTCTTGCAGCTCCTGGATCCCTGCATATGTTTAACAGAGTGACCTGCTGAGCTGCAGGGATCTTCTACCTGCTTTTCACAGCAATTGGCTTTCTAAACTAAATATGCCTTTTCTTTTCTTGCATTGTAACAAGAATGCTGTGTAGAATATTATGTAGTTCCTTTTAGATACTAATAGGGTTTCATATGAAGAAAGGTCCAATGTTTAAACATACTCCAGAGAACTGCATTGGTAATGTTTTGTATCCTAACCTAAACACAGAGGGGCAAATCTTGAGTTGTGGGAAGCCAGTGGAGCCCTGGCAACTTTAAATTTATACCAACTGAGGTGTATGTGGTCTCCAAAAACTTGCTTCCCCAACCTTCTACCCCCTCCAAGTTCTAGAAGCAAAGTCTTTTTAGGTAAGGGTCGTGTTGAGAAGGGAGGAATGTACCACATGTAGGTTTCTACAAAGTCTTTTAAGATCCATAGATTGTCTAGGCAGTGGGTGGCAGGCAAGGTTCTTTGGGTAGATGTGATATCTTTTATTAGACGAGTAGTTGGAAAAAAGTTCTTTGCACGCTTTCCAGCACAAACACCCTTCTTCAGGCATAGGGATTCTCTGCTGTTCTGAGACTCCAAGAAGCTTAGTGGGACAGGATGTTGGTGAGAATGTAAATAGGTAGAAATCAGGAAAAGAAAAGGGAGGGGGTAAAATAGCCAAAGACAGTAAGGGAGACTCTACTGTAGTAGTTTTCCAAGGTAGAAGATAGGCTATCTGTGGAACAAGTAAATAGCTGGAAATGGGGAAGACAAAGGGGGGAGGGGGAGGCTGGGGGGGGAACAAAAGTGTAAGAGGTCAGGTCTGGAAGGTACCTACCTGGTGAATGAGATGTTAGGCAGGTGTGTCATAAATCCAGTGTTTATATTGGGTCCATGATTTTTTGTATCTAGATTTATGAAGTGAGGTGAGATTTTTTGTATCCAGATTTATGAAGGCTCGTCTATGAAGGTGTTTTCGAAGTTCCCTTTGAGGATTAGATCTGAGAGATTGGAGGGGGAGCAATTGTCCTGTGAGAAGTGTGCCCCCACAGGTAGTTGGGTATTCTTGTCTTTTGATAGATTTTTTGCTGTGCTGTTCATTCCTTTTCTACCCTTTGTCTTCCTAAGTTCCACCTATTTACTTTTTCACAGACATTCTCTTTTCTACCTTTGAAGACCTCCCTTACTTATCTTTGGTTTTTTTCCCCTCCTTGTTTCTCCCCTCCCCACTTCTCTACCCTTTTGTTTTCCTAATTTCCACCTATTTGTTTTCCTACTGACCTCCTGTCACATTTAGCTTCTTCCATTCTTTGGAGTCTCAGAACAGCAGAGACTCCCTATGCTTGAAGAAGAGTGATTGCGCCAAAAAACTTGTGAAGAACTTTTTTCCAGCTACTCAGTTGGTCTAATAAAAGATATGACATCTACCCAAAGAACTTTGCCTGCCTATGTCCTTAGACTGGCAAAGCTACAAACAAAAACCTAGGCAATAAATGAAAACCTAACATAAATTTGGAGCCAGTGGAGCACCAGCACCTTCCCACAATGCAAGATTTGCCTTCAAGTTAAAACACAAAACAATACCAGTGCAGTTCTCTGAAATACAGTTTGATAAATGAATGCAAACAATGAGAGAGGCTTTTGGAGTTAGTGTAGCTGCTGAAACATGCCAAGTTATATGGTGTTTAAGAGGTTTTGTAACCTTTTAAATGGCAGGCTTCTAGATATGTCAGAAAAGGCTGAAATTGGTCTGAAATTGCAGTAAAGCAGACTTTTTAGGTTGGATATTAAGAAGAGCTTGCTCACTCTGAGAGTGTTGAAACCGATTACGCAGAGGTTGTGGAACCTCCATCCTTGGAAGCTTTTAAGATCAGGTTAAATACTTGGCTGAGATTCAGATGGATCCTTAGGCAGGAAGTTAGTGTAGATGAGCTCCTGGATGACCCTGTGACCTGGATCTGGCCTGCAGGGCGTGGGTCAAGCATCCCACACTAATTTACTCACTTCATAGCCTCCCTAACATCTGATGACATCACAGCAGAAACGAATTTATGGAATTTACTAATCCTTGCTTTCTTAACTTTATATTAATGTGAATATATGTGATTTATACACTTGTGTAATAAAACAGTAGCTTTGGAGGTGTATAACACCTTTGTGTGTGCATATTATTCTGTAATGCAGCATTATAGTTTAAAATTGTAATTGCTCCATAAGTAGGAAAATACCAACAAAAAGAAGGATTGCACAACTAACTAAATAGTTGTGGGAGAATGATGCAGCTAGAATTTCTGGAAGTACTAAACTGAATCACTCATTTTTCTAAATAAATATACAAAGGGTGCTTTTTCCACTCTTCATGCCATCTCACTTGCTCATGATTGGATGTATAAACTCTGAGAGCAGTTAGTTACCCACAGTGCTTTGTTTTTGGAGTTCTCGAGCACAGAGTAAGAAGACTGGAGACTCCTTTTGGGTATACTTCAGTCTGCCCTCTCAGGTTGGGAAGGCCCACGTGGTCAGAGTCTGAGTAATTTAATGGGGAAATTTTAAATGGTGGGTATGAGGTCAGGAAGGATCCAAGAGATCTGGAGTGGGAGTGCTTCTTCATGGCAGCCATTGCTCCTCAAACTCAACCAAAGAGCTGAGCTGGTGATTGCAAGTCGAGGAACTTTTCTGGAGGTGACTCTTTGTGGAGAAACACAGATAAGTCTGGATTCTTTAGGTCTTCAATAGCACTTATACTTTGGCCTGCTGCATTTATCATGGGTATCTTCAAATTCCCTCTACAAGGGATTGTAGAACTCTGCAACATTTTTCCTACCTTTGGACATAAGCAGCTACCTTCAGAGTCCAGATATGGCACCCTAGTTATTGACAAAAACTAAAGTGGATGATTAACTCCTCTTGAACAAGGACATCAGCAGCGTACAATGCCAAATGGCATCAGCACTCTACTTTGAGCAGGGGTGACACCCACCATTCGGAGAAGCTGCTGGTGGTCATGGAATGTTGAGCTGTCTATGATGTGAGTTGGTAGAGTTGTTCTCATATGTTGAAGACTTGCAAAACAGCCCTAGACTAAACAAAATTGGACTTCTCCCCAAAGAATGAATTTAGCAGTTGGATGCTTGCATGCTTTCTATTATTATGGAGTTACTGTCTTGCTTTCTGTAATATAATATTGTGCTCTGGCACTTTGGCACTGATCAGGTTAACAAACTTATTGTGATAACAATCCCATCAGTTTTGTGTATGAGTTTTTCTGCTTGCATGCATGTTGGTGAGATGGCATTTGGCATACATGACTTGCAGCAGCTGCCTCATTGCAGGAAAGTTTGCTGTACTGTGCTGAATGTTGCCATGTATTCTCTTACTCCTTCTTGCTTTCATTTTCCTCTTTCACTAAACATTTCTTATTTTAAGGTGGAATCTTTGGCACCTGCCACTCCAACTTGTAATCAGGAAAGCCTTAGCCAGTCACCTCCTTTAACTCCTACTACAAGAAAGGTAATAAAAAAAAAACAAATCAAAAGCAGCCCGCAACAAAAATAACAGATGCATTTTAATTACCAGAGGATAGTGTTTTTTCTTTTTTCACTACTATACGAAATGCTTTAATGTGATCCTTAAGTGTATAGACATGAAAATACCGAGAATTTAGGGAGTTTACATTATCTCTGTATTTGGTACCAGTGTGACTGCTGTCATAACATGACAGAACCTTAATTCTAGTATCTATGTTCAAGGGGTAATAGAATAATTGCAGATGGTTTGATACAAAAAAAGCATAGGAATGGATAAAAGACTGGAAAACCAGGCCTTTATAGTGAAAGATTTGAGGAACCTTATCAAAGAGGAAACTTGCAGGATGACACATTTTTGGCTAGAAATAAACCGACTCTTTAACATGGAGGATAAATCATCCAAATTATTTAAGGTTTGTTATACGCTCTCAGTAGAGACCTTTAGGAAAACATCCAAACAAAACTTTGTTTAAACATGTTCTAGTTCAAGCACAGCTGTTAGAGTTGAAGTAGAAATGAATGAACTTGTGCTCTTGTTATGTGATTCTCTGTGGCCTCCTGTAATGTCTCTTCCAGCCTTAAAGAAAGGAAAGTAAGAGTAGTACAGAGGAAAAACAGCATTCATTCAGTCTGCCTTCCACTAGATTAACTCAGTTCATTTCTATTAGTCATATTCTGCTTCTAGTGGGAGGAAGAACATCATAACCCAGATTTTACTGCCTTCCTTGCCAAAGGTTTTATGTAGTTAAGGGTACAGATACCATAGTATGTTTTTATACTCCACTATAAAGGCAGACTGTCTATCTGTCTGTCTATCTGTCACTGTACATAGTGTGCCCACTCATCTATAGGAGATCAGGTAATAACTTGAGCCAAGGCCTACCTAGGATAGATAACGAGGACCAAAGCTGCAGCCTCAATGTATACACTGGTGTAACTTAAGCTATCGTACAGTTACTACTGTATTTTTGAGAAGCAAGTTTACATGGGGCAGAACATCTTACACTGTACATAGTGTGTGAGTGGGCACACTATGTACAGTGTAAGATACTCTGCCCCGTGTAAACTTGCTTCTCAAAAATACAGTAGTAATTGTATGATAACTTAAGTTACACCAGTGTGTGTGTTGAGGCTGCAGCTTTGGTTCTCTGTACCTATCCTAGGTAGGCCTTGGCTCAAGTTATCTGCTTTCCTGCTACCACCTGGCAAGATACTGTAACAGCATCGTATAGCTTGTTACTTAAGGAGAAACTGGTTGTTTGTCCAGATCCTGATGTAACTTAACTTTACAAAGTGTATGCAAAGAACAGGAATATAGACACGGATATAAACATGGCATGCATCCCTCATCCAGAGGAAACAAAAGCTGATACTGTGGGAGAATAGTTTCTTCCCTCCTTCCCCTTTGCTTAGCTAAGAGGGAAGGAAAAACTCAGGGAAAAGATTAGAACTTCAGTAGCTTGTATCGTTCCCTTTCAGGAGCAAAGTCTCTGTGGACTTTTATCTCCTTACGCTCCTGAATCTATCTACTTCTACCTGCTGTCTTTCAAAATGTGAAGATGATCTTTGTCCATGTATTTATTTAGTCTCCCCACTATTCTGTAGCAGAGGTCAGATTTCCTTTGCCACCTACTTGCATGCTGGGCTTTACACATACTGCAATGGAAGGGAAAACTTCACTCCCCTTTTCAGTCTTCCCACTACCAAGCTTATGATTCCCAATTAGTTGAGCAGCATACATTGTAGAATGCATGGAAATTATGACTTGCGTAAACTGTTCTTTTGTAGGTGCTGCATGCATAAAAGCCTTTCCCACATGATTTGCTCTAAGGATGAGCACTTGGTCAACATCTTGGGCACTCCACTGCAACCCTTACTGCATATCTTCTTCCCTGTCACCCACACACCCTGTAAAAACAAATGCACAGGTTCTTCAAATTTTTTATTACTTTAGGGTAACAGAGCACTGATCTGTCAATCTAGCCACCCATGAATAGAAAAACCTTGTAATTTAGCAGCAGGTTCCCAGATACTGTTCTTCTATGGTTCATTAACTTCTAGTTTTAGAAGTTGTTACTAACCAAGAAAAAGCTTATTTCAGAGGAAGCCTAGATCCGTCTCAGTATGAAACCATCCTGGCGTGAACCCAGATAGACGGTCCTTTTTCACACGATTGCAAATATTGAATCAACCTCCCTTCTAAGAGGCCAGATTGCTCCCCAAGGCTAGAGTCTAAACTTATCAGCTTCAGTAGCATAACACCATCTGGTGCTGCCTAAAGAAGGGGGCTGTGACCTCATTCCTGTACCTCTTCCCCACCACACCGCACCTTCCCTGCAGCAGCTCTAGCTCGAGCTCCAGCAGTTGGGAGGTCAATATAAAAGCACCAATAGATAGAAGAGGGAGCAGTAGCTGGAGGCTTTCTGTTGCAGGGGGGAGATGTTGCCTCCTATTTGCTTCCAAAAATCAGTATTTAAAAAGCCATTTGACATGCCAGTGGCAAAAAAAAAAAAAAGGATGCAATTTCCCCTTTCTCTCAACAGTGAACCTGTGGTTACTGCTCATTCCTGCTGTATGGTATGCCACCAACTATCAAGGTCCAGAACTGGCCACTTACACCTCTGATCAGCTTGAATGACTGTTTATCATAATACTTTTCAGTACCCAACACTTGGGGAATTTTATTTTAGTTTGTGTATGTGAGGAGGGTAGGAGGGGAAGAAATGTAGATCCGTGTGGCTCTTCCCAAATATTAAAGGTTTTCTAATGCATAAATGTCAGTCTTGCCTCTTGTGAAAACAGGTTTCACAGTGTGAATTTGTGGCGTGTTTTGTCTTTCTCTTTTGTTAGTCTTTCTCCTCTTCCCCCCCCCCCAATTGCACTCATGAGTTTTGTGCTCCAGGCAAATTGTCCTGCTCTTCTTGTGGAAAGCCACTATTCCACCAGATGGCAAGAGGAATATTTACTAGGTACTGTATAGCTCAGTGTGGATTCATATATTTGAGCTTCCCTCTTGAAGTTGGCCAGGCCACAGTGCTGGCTTGAAATGTTGACAGTAATTTGTGCTGTTGACTTGACTAGATCCTATACTGGGTGCAGATTGGAGCTCTAGGTGTGTTCTTGCAGCTAAACAAGTGAGTTGCCAAGATGTGAATGTGAGGGCCATCAGCCTAGCCACATCCATATTTCATATGATGGGGTGCAGTCTCTTTAGCAGGCTGTGGAGAGAAGTGAACTATTTTGCCACCATATAGGTATTTTGGCACCCAGAATCATTGAGGAATCTAGAGGACCCCCCAGCTGCAGTCTCACTACTGTATGGGTAACTTAAATGTTATTACTGCAAGTGATGTTAAGTCATCAGGATTTGGTGTCTGAACAATTGATTTCAGCTTTCTTAATGCATCTTTGTTCAAAATAGTGTGATATATTCATTCTACCCTTAAAATAAAATGTTTAATCTCTCAAAATCTGGCAGTGCAAATCTTATTCAGATTTTAAAGACAAGTTTACTTGCAAGTAGAGGCCAAGCAAGTGCAGAAAACTGGAGCTGCTGAAGTGGTGGCTTTTTAAGAGAAGTTGATCATGTGAAGAGCTTTGTAGCTGGTAGCTTTGTAATGAAGGTCTTAATGAAATCTTCAGTTCTAACCAGTGCTGTCCATAATGCATATAAATTTGTTGGTTGGAATTGTCCAATGGAAGTAGTGGCATTTGAGAAACATGTCAACGAATCCCTACAAAATACAGATTTCCAGTCAAAACTGACTTCTTTGCCTTCTGTTTTGACAGAAAACCAGCATGACTGCCAGGTGTCTTTTGCCATTTTAAATCTAAAATATCTGGGGCAGGGTGCATTTAACCAAATTCTGCCATCCATGTAGTCTAAAAGCAAAATTAACTGAAGAAAATGTTCAGCCAGTAAATAATTTAAGATCATGTTCTAGTGAAGCTAACTTTCTGAATTCAAGGTAAATATAGGAGTTAGTAGAAAAAAATCTTTAAAAGGTAGGCTTTGATTTGTTTTTCTTTTGAAGTTCATTAGTGTATATAGTAGGTGCATCTACACAAGGCACTTTACTGTGGGGTTGACTAATTAGCTCTGCAGTAAAGCATCACCATCTACATGTGCACCCTTATCAGGCTGGTATAAACTAATTAATTCCTCTGTAGGATAATACTGCCTGACACAAGTACTGTCCTACAGCCAAGTTATTTACTTTGCTGCATCGCATGTGTAGATGGTGCCCAGGGCTTGCTGAGGCATGAGGGTGCTACAGTACAGGGGTTGCTTGCCAGCTAGCCCTTCACTGTAGCACCCTTTTGCCCCAGCCAGCCTCTCTGCAGCACATTCCACTGGGGCAGAGCAGCTCCAGGCTGGCAGGCTGACCCCCAAGAGCCCCTGCCAGCCAGGGCTGTGCTGTCCCAGGTGCACGTGTAAATGCGCCCAGGAGCAATGAACTCCAGCACAAACTGTGCCAGAGTTTCTTTGCATCACATTAAGATCATGTGTACATATGCCCAGTATATTTCATCTGCACTGTGCTCTTCCTTGCAACTGGAGATGATTGCTATGGATAAGGATGCTTTAGGAAACTGATAGGATGAGTAATTTATTGATTTATCTATTAATAGCTGGACAAGTAGTATGTTCAGTAATGTCCCAGTTCCATATCAGTGGAAGACTAATAACCATACTTACCTGCCTGTCATCACTGTGGTATATGAGCATCTTAAGCCTCAGACAGACATTTAGTTTCTCTTGGGAGAGTTGCTGCTCTCCTAGGTGAAACCATGTAGATGCAGATATTTAGGTTTTTTCTGCCGTGGTAAAAATAGTACAGGAGAAAAATAATTCTGGAACAACCAGGGTTAAATCATTGCAAAGAGTTTCACCTGGGAGAGTTTAATATCTATACCTGCTGTGGCTTCTCACAGAAGAAAACAGCCCTTCTGTATCCTTTACCCTCCATCTCCCCTGTGCTCCCCTACCCTCCGGGGAGATGGTGTATCACTCACTGGACTCATATGTGTTCTGCTCCCTGCTGAAGCAGCAATCTGCTTTGTCATCATTGTACTGCAGGGAAACGCAGGTTGACACGGGGCAGTCTGGGTCAGCCAGTTGAGGCTGTCCTGGGCACTGCTACCATCTGTTGCCAGGTAGATTAAGTAGAGTACCCTGCAATGTATGCATAGGACACCCCTCCTCCCCCTCCCTTCCCTCCTGCAGGTACATAGTGTTAGCACTGCAAGCTCTCCATTCTTCAGGGCATGCTCATTCTGTTGTCTGTACACACATCTCTGGGTACGTTTCTCTACCAGAAGAACAAACCAGGGCAAGTTCTCCCAGGTGAACTTAATGTGTGTACACAGTCACAGATTGGCATTGGTGAATTTTAGGGCTAATATCAAAGAACTGAACACAGAACTTGTAGCTTCTCTCTAGAAATTTCTCTCTCCCACTGATGATATAGTATATATTTCCTCTGTGTCTTTTTTTCTTTTCCCCCCCCCCAGCAGTTTGTCCTTTTATTTCTTAATTGTAGGTTACCAATGCCAATGACCCCTGGTCAAACTGGAACGCTGGGAAATCTGGAAACTGGGACAGTGCAAACTCTGGTGACAGCTGGGCAACCAAACCTGAAAGTGCAGCTGGACAGAAAAACAGTGCTTCAAACAACTGGGAGGCAGCAGGAGCATTTGGTCACCCACAGGCTTATCAAGGTCCAGGTCAGCTAAATCTTCCCATAATTGGTCCATATTTACTTGCTCTTTGAGCAAATAAGGGAGTCGTGGGCATTTGTTAGGATTATCTGAGCAGTGATAATCTGAGGGAGGGAGCCACTAAGAACAGTGGTTGCTGTGAGGTACAATTGTGGTCCCTCAAAATATTTCCTTTTGAAAGTTTCAGTGGCATACAACAATCCATCTTTTCAGAATCTCCTGAAGAATTATCAGGTGAGAGTCATGATGATTAATCTCTGACACACTCTATTCACATGAATTTTGTTGACAATAGATGGTCTTAAATCTGGGTCTGCCTGGTTCTGTCATTAGGACTGGCCTGTGACTAAGTCTTCTAACCTTAAGAACTGGAGTGTTTCAGAGGACTTTCTAATCCTTGCAGCACTGAAGGTGGAGGTGAAGGGAAGGATTTGTATATGGGGTAGACTAACTTTACAGGGTGGGTTAAGTGCATCCTTACTGTAATACACTTACATTTTTAAAAACCTGTTACAAACATACCATGTTTATTTTGGTGGGGCTTTGACACATTCTGCATGCATAGCCAAAGTTGGGCTGAATTACTTCTCAATATCTTCTACTGCATTTTTTGTTTGTTTTCTCAAGAGTCTGCGAGCATGCTGGCTGAGAGGAGATCCTTTGGACTTGTACAGTAACTAATTTTTCTCTTTGCCCTCTTCAGCAGCTGCTGACGATGATGATTGGGATGATGACTGGGATGACCCCAAATCCACTTCACCACAGTATCTTGGTTATAAGGAATCTGAGCCTTCTGAGGCAGGGGGCCCTCAGCGTGGAAATACTCGGGGAGCTGCCATGAAACTACCACTTAACAAGTAATGATTAGCAAACTAGGAAAAAAACACTGTAAAGATTGGAGAGGAATTATGAAATTGCTGTATGTAATAGTCATATTGTAAAAGCCTGTACCCATTTCGTCATATCTGTCCTTCTACTCAAGTGTGCTGTGAAAACCTAATTAATTCTAGCTTTATTACTTAGGGAACTTATACAGTATCACCTCCCCCACATACACTCTACTCCCCTCTGAAAATAGGCTGTGCATCCAGTCCTGTTCTTCTAAATATTTTCTTTGGAACAGGAACATCCATATATGCACTTACGTAGTACCCTACAAATTTTATACCAGCATAACTGGTAGCAGAATCTGGCCTTACCTTTCTTTACCTTAGGTTGCATGTTAATATGCCCCTACAACTGTGTTCTTGTGTTTATGGCTTTAAATGTAGGAGGAAAATAAAAAAAAGTGTGTTGTAAGAATACACAAGTATTCCCCAAGACTTGGAAGAGAAGAAAATGATCAGAAACAGTCAACATGGGTTAACCAAGGGCAAGTCATGCCTGACCAACCTGATAGTTTTCTAAGATGAGATAACTGGTTCTGTGGATGTGATATACCTGGACTTTAGCGAGGCTTTTGATATGGTCTTTCACAGCATTTTTGCAAGCAAGCTAAGGAAGTATGGGTTGGATGAATGGACTGTAAAGTGGATAGAAAGCTGGCTGGATTGTTGGGTTCAATGGGTAGTGATCAATGGCTCAATGTCCTAGTTGTTAGCCAGTATTGGATGAAGTGCCCCAGGGTCAGTCCTGGGGCCGGTTTTGTTTAATACCCTCATTAACGATTTGGAAGACAGGATGGATTGCACCTTAAGCATGTTTGTGGATCACACCAAGCTGGGGTGTCAAGTATGTATGCTGGAGGGTAGGGCTAGGGTTCAAAGTGACCTAGACAAAATAGATGATTGGGCCAAAAGAAATCTAATGAAGTCCAACAAGGACAAGTGCAAAGTCCTGCACTTAGGATGGGAGAATCCCATGCACAGGCTTGGGACCAACTGGCTAAGCAGCAGCTCTCCAGAAAAGGCCCTGTGCATTACAGTAGACAATAAGCTGGGTGTGGGTCAACAGTGTGCCGGTTTGCCAAGAAGGCTGCTAGCGTACTGGGTTGCGTTAGCAGGAGTGTTGCAGACAGATTGAGGGAAGTGATTTATTTCGCTCTATCACTCTATTCAGCACTCGGTGAAGCCACATCTGGAGAACTGTCTAGTTTTGGACCCCCCCCCCACTACAGAAAGAATGTAAGCAAGAATGTGGAAGGGGCTGGGGCACATGACTTATGAGGAGAGGCTTTAGAAAGTGGGCTTATTTAGTCTGGAGAAGAGAAGACTGAGGGGGGATTTGATAACAGCCTTCAACTACCTGAAGGGTGATTCCAAAAAGGATGGATCTAGACTGTTCTCAGTGGTGGCAGATAACAGAACAAGGAGCTATGGTCTCAAGTTGCAACTAAGAGAGGTTAAGGTTGAATAGTAGGAAAACTGTTTTCACTAGAAGGATGGTGAAGCACTAGAACGGGTTACCTACAGAGATGGGTGAATCTCCACCCTTGGAGGTTTTTAAGGCCTGGCTTGACAAAACCTTGGCTGGAATGATTTAGTTGGGGATGGTTCTGCTTTGAGCAAGGGGCTGGACTAGATGACCTTCTGAAGTCCCTTCCAAACCTCATTTTCTATTTTTCTAAGTCCTGTCTTTTTAAGCAGTCTTTTAATTAATTTTTAGACTGAAAGATGTTAACATGATGCAGTTTTGAAAACCTATATGGTGCCAGGGATGAAGCTAAAAGGAAAAAAAACCATTTGAATTGTGGCCTTTCAGTTGTCACTCCTCTAAAGAAATGTATGTTGCATTACCCCAAACTGGGGGTAATGTCCTTTAACCAATTTTTGTTTGCTACAAGGAATTTTCTTTTCTTTTTTTTGTTTTTTAACTACTGTATTAGTTTTAAGGACTTTATCCTGATATTTATTTCCTTAGGAATAGTAGCAGGAATAAAGCCATCATAAATTTTGTATAATGCCATGTCTCTCTGAATGCTACATCTCTCTTCTCTTTAAATAACATAAAATTGTCTACTTATCTCCCAATGTGTACTGTCAAAGAAGCATATCAAATTTATTTGGAGAAACATCTAATTTTTACTCTCCAGCTTTTTAATAGCAATTGATGTGTATAGCAATTGATGTGACTGTGTATAGTCCAGACTTGTTTGGCAGTGCAGCAGAACCTCACAATAGCCACTTAACCGAGTACTAATGCCTGATTTGTTGTTGGTTGTGGTTGATGATCTAGTTTATTGTTTAGTTTTTGCTTTAAAACTCTCCAAAGCCTTATGTAAAGTAAAATCAGGAGATGTAGAAAATACTTGGATGGCAAACGCATGTCATGCTTATTTTATAGGCCTTTATACAAACTTTTGTATGTGCTAATTTCCATCGCTTTTGTTTGGTTAAGACAGAGGTTGGCAGCTGACAGCCCACAGAGCCATGGGACTTTGACAGTAAGGTGCTTTGTCCACACCATGGCCAGGTGGTGGAGAGAAGTGGTAGCAACCAGGTTATAACATCAGCCTGTCTTGGACCTGAGCTGGGTCATTCTGGCATGTTGCCAGAAAATGATGCTGACTGCTGGCTTAGGTTTGTAGTACATCTTGTCAAGACACAGCTGTTTTTGCAACTGAGCAGTGCATGTAGAGATATTGTCAATTATTTTAGTTTTTAATGTAAGAAAGACTAGCTCTTACATAGATAAGCAAAACTTTATAGAAAATTAGACCAAATAGCAACATGAACTCTCCTCAAGAACAAAGGGTACAAAGACTTCTGTTCACAGACTGGTAGTTTTAGGTAGGTGTGTTTGTACATGGTTGTTCAGATCAGAAAGCTCTGTGGGTTTGTTTGAGGACCAAACACTAGCTTCAAGTTAACCTATACAATTGCATTTCTTAAGTATTTGCCTCCCGAGCTAATATTAAAGTTGTGATTTATGTTTTATTTATTACTTTATTTTACTCAAGTGTAACCTGAGTGAGTATTTATTTAAAATCAGTCAGTAAGAGCACAAGACTTTTGATAACTAAGGCTACATACAAATGTTCAGTTTCTAAAGGGAGATGAGTGGTTTCTCCTGGTAGACAGCAGAAGTTTGCAGACTTTCAGGCTCTTTTTCCCAAAGCAAAAATGGTCTCTCTGGAAGAAAAATAACTCTGGAACAACCGGGATTAAGTTGGTCCTGGGAGAGTTTCTCCAGAGGATTGGTAGGAGTGGAGCTGAAGGAAAGGCTCCTGTGCCTTCCCAAGACTGGGGTCACCCCAGTCCTGAGAGAGCATGGGGCAGCTGCTCCCATCCATCCTGTAGACCTGGGGGGAAGGAAGGGGAATAGCAACTGCTAGCTGCTCCCTACTAATTTTTTCACCAGAGTCCCTTTTGTTGCACTGCTCCCTCTGCTCAGTTGCTGGAGACATGAGGCGCAGCCCCTTCCCCAAGGGGAGCAAGTGTCTGGTTTTGGGAAGGCGCTAAAGACTGTCTTGCTGCTGTCTTCCCCTCTTGGACTAGTCTGGGGAGGGAGGAGAAGAGCAGCCACATTGTTCCTTGTCTCTTCACTAAGCTGGATGCTGCCCTGTTTATGGTGGGTTTTGGGATTTTGCTTCCTCTGGTCTGCTCAGCCCTTGAAAACAGGGAAAGGGGTGGAGAAGGCTGCTTCTTCACCTTGTTCCCCAGAGCCTGGTCTGGGGCAGGTATTAGGAGTCTGTCTGCTGCTTCATTTTTTCCCTTCCCCCCTCTGTCATCCCCTTGGGACCAGGAATAGTGGAACAGGCACTGCTCTGTCTTCTCCAGACTGGGATCTCCCCAGTCTCAAGAAGGCATGGAAAACGGGGGGGTGCATAAGGCTGCAGACTGAGCATCTGTACTGCTCCCTCTCCTGAAAAGATTCTACCAAGAGAAATTTCTCCCAGTGGAAATCAATGTCTTCACACAGCCTAAGACCCAATCTAGTAACTGCTACCAAAACAGGTTTTCTTGCGAAAAGTCCTGTTTGTCAGAATGCTCCCTCTGTGTACTTTCCCTCTGTGCTCCAAGGGGGTGAGTGTACATTGAGAAATTGATTCTTCTTTAGGGGGGGAGGAAATACTTGCATGAATGTGGTACAGAATCAAACCCGTGGTTCCTACAGACAGTCTAATTTTATTTGCTTTTCCTCTTCAGAAAGTCTCAAGCGGTAAAACAGGATGTAGACTCATCTAGTAACAAATAGCATTACATTTTGTAATAATAAACAGGCTAGAACTGGATTAACATCTGTCATTGAGTTTGAGAAACTGTTTAGTTTATAATTGAGAGAATGTCAGTAGAATAGAAAATGGTCCTTACTGCTATATAAAGTCCTGCTTCAGTCCTGTAACTATTCTTATTACAGTGATATACTTTGTATTGTGAAAGGTAGAATCTATTTAGAATAACCAGCATTAAAACTCCTCTGATTTAGGGTGTTAAAATTGATTATAAGTCATACTTCACTTCTGTTGTTGCTCCATACAAACAGCAGCTGCTTGGCAGCATTTCAAGCAGGGGGCTAACTTTTGAGAGTCCAGTCATCTCATTGAATAGAGAGGAAATTGGACCTACCTGGTATATTTAAGATAAACTATGATTTAAGGACATAGGACTATCAGTCTTTTCTTTAAATTCTACTTGGATGAACTGTGTGTATCATGGTGTTCAGGACCACTAGATAAAATTAATATTGTAGCTCATAGTAACTTGTTTTTTTCTACTAATGATACCTGTGAATTCAAATGACTCTAGTTGACTGGTGATGAATGATGCAATAAAGAATCAGTTGTTACTAAATGTACCAGAGTCATGCTCATTCTGATTGGCTTTGCACATCAGACCAATTGTGAGGCTCAGACCATGAGACTGGCTTGCCTGAAGGTATGTCTTAAGGCATTCTGCACTTTTCATGAATTATGGGCTGGGCTGCTCAAGAGCTAAAACTCTCTCTCAAATAAAAATTAACAATCAAAGCACTCCATAACTAATGCAAATTTAATTTGGTGTAATTTTAAATTTTCTCAATCACTTTTCCTTAGCATATTAATGTTTGTTTTTCTTAGGTTTTTTTCAGGCAGGAAATACTGAATCTGTCAAAGGAGAGATTATGAAAAATGAAATTGGTTACTTTTTTATTTCTTTGACCAGATTCCCTGGATTTGCAAAACCTGGCATGGAACAATATCTGTTAGCAAAGCAGCTAGTGAAACCCAAAGAGAAAATTTCCATAATTGTAAGTTGTGTTCCTCATAACTTTTCTTTAGCTTCGTTGTCTTCTAAATATTTTTCAATTAATCCCAGCATGGAACTAAAAGCATAATTTGCTAATCTAATACCAGATATGTAGTAGATAGTGTGAGGGTGGTTGGGTAGGTTTGTGGGGGGTTTTGGTTTGGCATTTCTTTGTGTATATTTATGGGAATTGTGCAGTTAAGGCCTTGTTCCTGACAAATGCAGAGTATCTTTAACTCCAGTCAAGACTAGTGAGAGTCCAGGAGTGCCTTTTAGGATCAAACTTTTACATATAGAAATGTAGGCAGGCTAGCTATGCAGGAAGCATTAACACACTAGCAAGCACAGTTAAAGCAGTAAGGAATAAAAAGGCGTGAGCATGGGTCTGTTCTTGCCTGTGTCTACAGAGCCTCACTTCTACATGTAGTTCCACCAAATACAATGGGACTACATACATAAGGGTGTTCAAGATTTGGTCACTGTGTCAAAAAAAAATCACTTAACCATAATTAATGGACTAATATAGAGAGTTTCAAGTGGAAAAAATCATAGTGGGTAGCATTTTTTTAAAACAGGTAGATTTCTTAATTAGAATAGTAGATAATAAAGGAAAATTGCCTGTAACAAGAAAAATAACTTATGACAAATATTCAGGTTTTAAATGGCTCTCCTAAAAGGTATTTCAGTTACATTATGTACCCCTCATTAGTTCATCAATTAGAGGCAGTAGCCTGTGAAAGAATCTTAACAGTGCAGAGGCACAAAGCCCAGAGTGCCCCCTGCAAGCTTCTGTTAAATACCCTCAAATCTTGGTCCAATCCCTGGGAGTGGAGAGTGCCTAATGCCAGTCATTGGAATCACTTTAATACTTTGCTGTGCTGGACCTTAAACAAGGCCCTGATCTGGCATTAGTGTTCTGATTTAAGGTGCAAGTTCTCACTGAAGTCAACAGAAGACTTCCAAACAGATTAAGCTCATGGTCTGACCTTTCAAAAAAATTGAAATGTATAGCATGTAACTAAAAAGAAAAGAGAAAACCTTAGTTGCTTTCTTGTTTAATGATGGTCTGTCGTGGTATATGCCCATTTATAGTATTAATACTTATGATTTCTTGTAGGTTGGTGATTATGGCCCAATGTGGGTTTATCCTACCTCCTCATTTGACTGTGTGGTGGCAGATCCCAAAAAAGGTTCCAAAATGTATGGGTTGAAAAGCTACATTGAATATCAGCTCACGTGTACTGTAAGTATGTCTGACCTTGGTTCTTTACTGTGTATGCAAGTCGGTATGGGGCTGAGAGGGAAAAATCTATTTTAGGGAACACTCTTTTATTTTGGACATTGTCAGTGTTTTCATCATGGTAGACTAAATCTAATATTTAAACAATAAGTATTTTGGATTTCTTGCAAACATTTCCCTTGAGCTAGTTGGTGGCCCTAAAAGTTTCGATAAGACTAAAGTCTTTCTTTAAGGATATGTTAAGCAAGAATTCTTTGTTTTGTCTGTTTTACAGAACACAAATCGATCAGTCAACCACAGATATAAACACTTTGACTGGTTATACGAGCGTCTCCTAGTTAAATTTGGATTAGCCATTCCAATCCCATCTCTTCCAGACAAGCAAGTAACAGGTAAACAAGTTCCCAGCTGTGAAATGAGGGGGAAGGGGAGGAAACATTTGCACAATGGTGATCTTGAGCATCTATACACATGTTGGGGGTGGGAGGGCACTTTTAATTAGAACAATTCCAAGAGCTGCTCTAACTGGTGCCCAGAGCATCTCGTGCATCAGCGTCCTCACGCTTCAAAATGATGGCGAAGGCACTTTAGATAAAGTCCGTTCTCCCGTTTTGAAGTCCGGAGATGCTGATACAGGAGACACGGGAGCTGCAGCAATTACACGCAATCGGAGCAACTTCTGCACTTGTGTATTAGGCCCCCTTTGTTTTGTAGCGTCTTTGAAAAGGTGGCATAGCAGCATTGCTTTGAACACTGAAAATTCTTTTGGATGTGACTGACTAACGATAATCTGATTGGTGACATGTGTCACTATCAATCCAAAACTCAGTTTTGATCCTTTCCAGGCCAGAAGCATAAAAATCTTAAGTACTACAGAGAAAGTGTGCTCAATCCTAGTAGGAAAATTTCTTATGCAACAGTCCCTCAGACTGTCTTGGAAGTGACATAAGTTTTATTTTCATTTGATCAGACTGATCTATAACATAGAAGCTTTAAAAACTTGGAGCAGAAGGGGAAACCTGAAACTTGTCTGGGGGAACAGAGGAGCCCAGGCAGTGTGCTGTTAGTTCTCTCTTCAGAAGTTCCTGTTTTTCTGATGGCTTATTGTCACTTGTTTGTAAAAAGCCAAATAAAAGTGCATGCCATTTACAAGACATCCAGCACCTTGTTATAGTATCAGGTAATTTGATCAAACACTTTTGAAGCCTTTCTGTTGATTTCAAAGAACATTGGATTGAGTCCTTAGTGCTGTCATTTGTTCAGTTCATCACACTTTAAGTGTGTGTCTGCATTTTAATAGTGTTTTATGGCTAACAGTAATGTATTTTTTGAGCAAGTGTAGGGACTTGACCCAGGAGAAAAATCTATAATTTGTGTGTTCCGATTAAAACATTATGCAGCCATTAAGGCACCCACTCAAAAACAAAAGCACAAAAGCAGGCGTTTAGCCAACCATGTGGCCTGTTTGTACCACTGAAAATGCAACAGTGTCTGTGTGAAGAAAGTTGAGCATTGATACAAATGCTGGGATAAGTGCCGAGGAAACTGAAAAGTGAGGAAGTGATTTTGTTTTTTCCTTAGCTAGGCTCCTACTTAGAATTCTACCAGGGTTTGTTCTTAAACATGTGCACATGAACTAAAAATAAACTAGGAGACCTGATGGTGTGTCTCTAGATTTCCTTATAATTGGCTCCATAAAAGACTCAAAAGGGACTCTGGCATCTCCATCAATTCTTGTGTTTTGATTTTTGTTGTTGGTATTATGTGAGGGAGGGCTATTTTGCTTGATTTTATGGTAAGAAGGCGTGTTTGTTTCTTTCTTGGAGATGAAGTTAAATGAAACACTTGGAAAATGATAGACATCTTTCATCATGCTCAGGAGGCTTCTTTCAGAGGACTGCTGTGTAGAAAAATGGCTTTTATAGGCACTAGAGAGGAAACCCTGCTATTGGGCCAACTGATTACTGCTTTGCTCGGAAGAGAACATTAATAGGACTCATGTTGTTGCTGGCAACTGGGTGCTGAACCATGCACGTGCACAGGTTCCAAATACATTGCCATCCACGTTTCTTTACCATCTTTCAGAAGCTATTGAAATGTTAGTGCTGCTTGAGGGTAAAAACATTCTAATCATGAAACCTCTCTTTAAGTCTTCATGACTTCTAGTCAATTAGTAGCATGGACACTTCTCCTATTTCTTACTTGTGCATATAGTTATTTTACTTTGGGGTTTTTTTTTTAATATTGCTTGTTTTAGTTTTGTGTGGGTTCCCAGACTGCTACTACAGTAATTGTGGGGCGGGTGTACTTTAAAAAGAGTTCACTCCTTCAAAGTCTGCCTGCCATCTACACTTTTATGAGAACTGAAGAGGTTAATGTGCTGTCACAATGTATTATCTGTTTCAAATATATCCTGTTCATTATGTAGTGTTGGAGTCATCAGATTTGATAATGAAGAAAGCTTTTTTCCAATTTTGAACATAAGACCTTGCCTTTTAGTATTAACAAAAGAGGTCACTTTTAATACATAGTGATGGAAACAGTGTTTCTTATAAATAGCATTCCATCAATTTACCAGCTTTGAAACATAATAGTTTCAGTTTCTATAGTTACAAAAGCTGTCACTTAGCGACTATCAAACCCTCCTATCCCTGTATATTCCTTCTTTCTAGTGTATATCTTCCACTTAAAAATGTATTTTGGTAATGTTTCTTTTTGCCTCTGTCTTTCATTTTTAAACATGTCATTCACTTTTCAGAGTGATACAAAAATGATTTAATAAAAACGCTACCTGGTCATTATTTAAAACTAGTAATTTTACCTACTAGTACTTCATATCTCCTACTTTCTAAAGTTCATTAATTTCCTAAGATACAGCTGTTACATTAAGGTAACTTCGTCCATTTTATACTCCATCACATTCGGTAGAAGAGAGCCTCTCATTTTTAAAGATAATTGTGGATACTTCTAAAGTGGCAACACAGTAGTTATTATTCAGTTTATTGCAGGGCGTTTTGAAGAAGAATTTATCAAAATGCGCATGGAGAGGCTCCAGGCTTGGATGAGTAGGATGTGTCGTCATCCAGTTGTTTCAGAAAGCGAAGTTTTTCAGCAGTTCCTTAATTTTCGGGATGAGAAGGTAGAAAATACAATCAAAATATGGGGGGAACTGTTTATTGTGCATAATGGTAGATGGGGGCTAAATTTTGTATCCTGCTCATAAAATGTATTGATTTCTGTCTGCCCTCCAGTGGGCAGTAGTTGAGCTGTAAATTGCTATAGGTTTGGTAGATTTGGTTCATTGCTTTTACCTGGGATTAAGCTTGTCAGCTGAAATTTTATTGCCATCTGTCCTAAGTAGAAAGATGGTGGTGTCCCAATGTAGACTTGTTTGGAATTGGAAAATTAACAGTTCTTGTAACTATATTCTAGACTCTTCTTTTAACACAGCGTTTCTCTCCAACAAATAGGGCAGCCATATTTGTTGCAGAAGTCTTAGAACTGGTATCATTCTGGCAATCTCTTGATAGACAAACTGCAATTAACCCTATATAACTGGCACCCTTTTAAAAAACAAAACAAACAAAATTGAACGTATAAATGAGAAATAAAAGCTTAATGGAGTACATAAGTAAAATGTAATTTATCACAGTTGGTGAAAAGCTAAAACAGTTTTGCAGTTTGCATCCAAACTGGTCATTAATTTCTGGTGCCAAAGTCTGAATGGGCATTCTCGTGACTTTTGGCCTTTAACTTGCTAAAACTTTAGCTTGGAAATTGACTGATTTTTCTGCTGCTATTTCTATTTCTTAAAATGATCAGCTGGGAATTTTTTTTAACTTCATCATTTGACTCTCTTAACCAGTTTTATTATGGCAATTCACTGATATCAAATAGAAGTAATAAAACTGGAATGTAATTTTTAAAAGAAAAATACTAATATACATATGCAAATCATTTGACACAGTAATAAGAAAACTAATTTCTGTTTTGTATCTATTTGTTTATATTACACAAAGGGTTTTTTTAATTTTCAGGTTAGTACCATCTAGAAAATGAAGATCATATATTTACCATCTTGTAAAGTCCTGTCCTCATTAAAGTCACAGATTTACATTAGTGGGGTGATTTCATTCAGAGGTTTTTAGGATATGGGCCATTGCAAGTATACATATTCTAAGTATAGAATGCAATCAAGCTTCACTAGAGATACAAGGTTACACAAAATGCTTTGTCATGCATGCTTTTTTTTCTTTTCCCAAGGAATGGAAAACTGGAAAGAGGAAAGCAGAAAAAGATGAGATTGTAGGACTTATGGTATTCTCTACTATGGAACCAGAAGCTCCTGACTTGGACATGATAGAAATGTAAGGTGGTGTTCCCTTTTCTCAAATTGATATTGCATGTCAGCAGTGACACTGAAAAATTATTTTTATTTAATGAAAAGCTACTGAGATCTATATAAAATAAGTACCTATTGCATGTTGCTGGCATCAGAGAAAAACTTGTCACTTCACCTGAATGAGTTATGACAAAACTATTTTAGTTTGAAATAGCTGAAAATGATTAAGTGGAGGCCTTTCAGAATGTGTTAGAACTTGACACAAAGAGTGCAGACAGAAGTGACAATTATTGCCCAATCTGGCTACAGGAAGTGGTCTATAGCCATGACAAAACACAAGTGCACAGCTTCAGACAGCTTCAAAAATGACCAACTGGGTGAAAGTCTGAACCCTTATTGCATGAGGGGTCAGATGAAGACATTTCAAAACAGCATCTTCTGTCTATGATGCCTGCTAGCCTGTTGCTGTTTTCAGAGGTAGGAAAGGAAGTGGAGGGAGTTTGGTGTGGGAGTTTTTCAGCCAAAGGGTGGGGTGGGTGAATTGGAAGCCCCCGTACTCCTAAGGTGGGGGGCTCCAGTTCACCCATCCCACTCCAGCGTGGGCTGGGGAATGCCTAGAATGAGCTCACTCTACTCCCTTTCCCTCTTCCCATTCTGAAAACTTCGCAGCCTCACAAGGAGAAAGTGGTGTTGCTAGGAAAAGACTGAATGCAGGCTAGCAGCCAGCAGCTAGATTCCTCTCCCCGCTGGAACCAACAGTGAACTTCTGTTTGGTCCGGGGTATCGTTGCAAGTTGGAACAGTTCCTGCAAAGCATTCTCAGCTACAGCTGGGAGCTATACATCCCGTCTGCAGAGGATGGTGCATAGAGATCTGTCTCTTGCAGCGACCTTGAATTGGAGTTGTTGGGCATTGACAGAGTAGTGGAGATAAAGCCTGCCAATATTATATTTTAAATAAAATATATTCTTCAATATGCCAATACAGAATCATTCCAAAGTTGGTTTGTTCTTTTTGATCATGTCAAAGATGACAAATAATCCTGTGCAGAAATCATTTGAAAAAGTATGTCACGATAGAAAAATTGGGCTTAATTCAAGCTGTGAGTCATCCTAAAGGGCGGGGCCAACACTAGATTTTTTACAAATGAAGAAAGACTGATCCTAGATTATCTATTTTTAAAAAATCATTAAAATGTTAGTAACTAACAATGAATACTGCACACACACTGCACTTTTTCTGTGCGTCACTGGTATTTCTTGTCCTTAACACATTATAGGTTGATTAACCAGATTTGCTTCCCAGTTCTTTCTTTTAAAACAATATGCCAATTAAAAAGAAGGAATAATATGGAATGGGTGACTTTTTCCACATGCTACTACATTCTGGAGAACATGAGGGTTTTCCATGATATTTTCTAGAATTGATAAACGTATGTGAATTAATTGATGTGACTGTGGCTAGGAGTAGACATTTCAGTTGTCCTAGGCCAGTTGTGCTTGTTTGTCCCAGAACAAAAATATCCTGGGATTGGCATGTACACACATCACCCTTCTAATCAGGAGTTAGTGAGTGTCTGAATGAACTGCCACTTTTTTGCCATCGATTCAATCCTGGCATAGCCATTTTGTAATGCCCCTAGATAAACTGTTAGTACTCATAAGTCTTTAGGATTTATCCTGAGACAACAGACATGGATATCAGAACAATCATACTTTGTCCTGTGATAAAATGAGATAAATGCAATGTCTATTCGTAGCCTGCATGAGAGGTTTTTATAATAGCACTAGTGTACTGCATCCATATTTGGATGAGGCCTATTCTTGAGCATTTAGTGCAGGGGTGGGCAAAATATGGCCCACAGGCCAGATCCAGCCTGCCAGGCCATTCAGTCCGGCCCGTGGGGCCCCTAAAAAAATTTTAAAATGAATACTCCATCTGCCCCTGGCTCCTGTCAGGGGCAGTAGGACCCAAAGGAAGCCACGGCATAACCCTGCAACAACGAGGCCCACCTGCCTTGCCCCAGCCCCTGAGCCAGAAGTCCCTGTCTAGTAGAGGCTTCTGGCCTGGGACTGTGGGGCAGTTAGTGGCTGCGCCAGTGTGGGAAATTCAGGTAAGAGCAAGGAGACAAGGAGGTAGGGGAGGACTGCAGGTGATTGCCCCAGTCTTTGGGGCTGGGCCAGCTCCTGCTGAGTCCTGTGGTCCAGACAGGCAGCTGGGAGCGAGTGGACGCATGGGAGCCAGCAACAGCCAGGAATCTTTCACCCAGTCAGGCGAGCACAGAGTGCATAGGGTCAGGGCTGCACGCACTGGTCCCCACCTGACCGTGGGGCTAGGGTGGGGGCCTGGGAGCGGGGAGAAGCCAGTGTTGGTGTCCTGGGGCCAGCATCTGCGGGGCCCAAAGTGAGGCAGCTCCCCTCTCTCCCTGTTGGCACAGTACAGCCTGGCTCCATAGACCCCAGCCGGCTGCAGCCCAGGCTTCTGTCACCCTGCTCTGGGCTCCGCCGGTGCTGGGCCCAGGGCCACCACCAGGCTGTTGCTGGCTCCCATGCACTTGCTGGCTCCCAGGCACCGCCCCCCCCCGAGCAGAAAAGCGGCCGTGGGCCTGATCCAGCTCCTGGCACAGTCTCTCTGGGAACGAGTTGCTGGTGGGTCGCTGGGTCCCTGCGGATAAGGGGGTGCCCCCAGGTGATGGTGCCTGCCGGGGCCACCTGTGGCAGGGCCATTGTCACCTCAAGCCTCAGGTGCATGATGTAACTTCCGCGCCACCTCCCTGCACTCCCTGGGCCACATCCCCCCTGCCTGTGCTGCCCACAGCAGCTCTGGGTGCCCCCCGGGCTTAACAGGCCCTTTCCCAGAGACCCCCCAGCCTCCTGGTGGTGGCAGGAGTTGCTCAACTGCAAACGCGGCTGTGAAGTTTCAGCAACGAGGG